GCTACATTTCTACAAACCTGATGAAGAAACAAACTCATCCTGATCTCTATTTTTAAGTCAGTTTACTTAATTTAAGGCAGCAACCAAACTTAAGTTTTAAGTTGAAGTAAATTTTTTATAGTGTTGATATTCAGTGTTTAGGGCCTTGAACATTAAATGAATCGGATTGATTGATCAGGGCGTGTGATTTGACTGATTTGTTGGCAGGTGAAGCGGTCAAAGTACACAAACACGTGAGGATGAAGCGCTAAAGACTGACTGATAATATAATGTTCAAAGTCTCATTATGATTCACTCCTGATCGTCTGCTCTTTGGCTCACAAAAGTTCGACTCTGGATCCTGGGAACGTCTGGCTGGATTCCCTGAAATCTGCCCGGTGATTCCAGAAACACTCACACACACACACTCTCAAACACACACACACACTCTCTCACAAACACACACACACACACACACACACACACTCAAACACACACACACTCTCAAGCACACACACACAAGCTCTTTTGTCATAGGTGGAATGTGTTGCTACGGAACGCCAGCCAATGGAATGCCGTTCCCGTGAGTCCAGAACAAGCCGCTGGACAAAAGGCCTTCATTCGCTGGTTTTGTCTCAGCGCTTCTGGCAAACGACAGACTATAGAGGCTTCAGAAGAGCCTAATTAACTGAAACCTGACGAAGAGCTGATGAACCACACACCGGATCATTCTCGTCTGACAGAGTCAAACTCTCACTCAAAAACCAGCAATCAAAATCATCTCCCTCATGCATGAAGACGAGTCATTATCTGGATGTATTTTTAATATAACTTGCACTTGGAAAGATGTTTATACTTTGTTAACTTCATAATGAATCTTATGATTTTATTTGGTAAATTGCATAAACACAGACGCAAAAAGAGCAAATCTAAACCACATTTAAAGAACTTGTTTCTTGAGTCTCTTTAGGCTTAAAACATCTTTAGGCCTATATTAAAGCAATAAACCCCAAGAAGCCGTGGTTTACAGTGAATTTATAACAGCTAAGGGGCATTGTTAGGGCCTTAGCTGTTATAAATTCACTGTAAACCACGGCTTCACGGGGGTTATTGCTTTTATAAAACGGTTATTCCATATACGTAGTAAGGTTTCACAAAATAAAACAGAGCAAATAAAGTGTAATGATATTAATAAAAACAGTATTCTTCCACCAAACAATGTAGCTCCTCAGAAACAGTTGTGGTTGCTACAAAGTGGTTGCCGAGCAACACACAAACCTAAACAAAGGTGTATGTTACTTTGTAGAGTAACAGCTTCGAATGTGGCTCAGCCAATCAGAATCAAGGACCGGAACTCTCTGTTTTATAATTAGGATTGATATATTTGAATTGCATATAAAATTTGGATTACAAAGTTTTAACATAAGTAAACTTAATATGATGCATATTTCTCAGCCTCAAAGATTTCTGCTCTCAAAATTGGATTTATTGATGATAAATATGTAAAGCTGGTCATGGTGTTTAAAGCATTCAGATTATTACAGAAATCTGACCTGTTTCATTTATTTATGACTGACAAATATGCATCACACCACGTTTATTAGTTTATGTTAAAACTGTTGTCCAGCTGCATGGAAATGTTATATGCTTGTCAAATTCAAAAACATAAACCTTGCCTAAATATTTTAGCAAAAAATCTAGATGCACAATTTTATTAAATAAAGTATTTTATAAATAGTATTTAACCTCTATTTAACCTTTATTTCTAAGAGTGTAGACGTATAAAACTGAACCGTGAGATATATGAACATCATCTAACCTCCTAAAGATGAAGATATGCTGTTATTAAACGCATAAAGGCCACACATGAGACTGCTGGAGACACTGAGTCTGATCTCGTATGAATGTGTGATTGTGATTGTGTTTGTGAGCTTGATTCACTGGAACTACAGTAACGTGTCTATGTCTAGCAGACAATTCTGGCATGAAGTGAGCATGAACAGTGATGTGTGCTGTTCGGTTTGATGCTGCTGCGTGACATGGTTCAACATGCCCTGCTCTGATTTCATCTCATCAGCACTGCTCATACACTCTGTGTGTTACACTGACATCTGCTGCTCGTGCGAGATTCCACAGAACAACTGCGCATGCGCAGAGACAGCGCTCCTTCACTTTATCAAAGAGGCCGAAGTATGGAGAAGAAACACATTTATACTTATGTGTTTATTTATATATATTTATATTTATAACACTATATAATGTCATAAATGTATATTAATTTAAAAACAAAATTGTAATTATAAAAAAAACTTTTTCCCGAC